TGGCCGGATTTCGTTTATATATTTATAAGGCTACAGATCACTTTTGCGTCGTTCAATCACCACCATGAGTATTTTTGGCTTCTCAATGTGAATAGAAAGTCCTGAGACCAATGACGGGAGAAGCAGAGGGAATAATCCCAAGAGGAAGATAAGCGATTATTTTAGCTAGTAATTGTTCAAAGGCAGAATCATTGGATTATAGGATTGTTAATCTCAAGCGACTTGAGAAAGTTTGTTGCTTCAACAGCGAAACGCTTATCTAAATGTAAAAGGAAAACTACTTAACCGCTCTTTGTTCTATCTCACGCACTGCCCTTGTTGTTTGCCTCAATCTTTTAACATATATCACACTGCTTTGTTTTAGATGCATTAGGCATATGCTATTTACTTGACTTACCACTTTGATTGTGGTCATCTAGTACGCAAGTTGGAGTATCCCTCTCCAGTAAGCTTGGCATCACTTAAGATTATGGCTAGGGTTTTAACAGTACACTTGGCTGATCGGCTCTAACTCTTCTCAACTCTTGTGCTTCATTTAGCCCATGGCTATTGCATTGATTTACTATTTGAAAAACAAAATGTGGTTTCAATTCATCACCGAGAGATATATAAAGGATTGAAATAAACATAGCAGTAAAGCAAGATATGATCTAAATGGTAATCTAGAGAATATTCACCATCATTTGCTGCATGCAGACCACCCTTTAGTCATCTACTAATGCGTCCTTGCTCAGCTTCCATTTCAAGCTGCTTCTATCTGTTTTTTCGTCATAAAATATTTCAGTTCATTGCTGTCATGCTGCACCCTTCCAGTAATCTCCAAGCACAAGCCATTGCCTGGGCTCTTACTTGGCTGTTTACTCTTAAAAGGTTTCTTGCTGGGGGCTGGATTTAGAAAGGCTGGTTGCACTCTAAGGTTTGGATTAGGTTTAATTCTGTTCATTTCTCTTTCATCTGGTGGCCGAAGAAGTATCCTGTTCTCTGATTCTAGTTCTGAAACTTCATCTTCATTCAATAGGACCTGAAGACACAAGTACCGTGCGTTCGAAAATGGTGAATATCTATATATGGCCAACAACAATTAATGGGCAAAAGAAAAAATCGAAGCAGTTAAAAGCTACTGAGGAAGAATTTTTGCAAAGAAGTACATAAAGTGAACTTCACAAGCATTACAGACAAAAGTGACTACAAGAAAAAAGGGAGATTGAGTATGGGGTCGGGAAGAATCAATGCAATTGAAATGGCTAAGCAAAAAGGAAAGCTTTGAAATTTGTCAGTAAGCCTCTGTTCTATTGCAACTTGCATGGTCAAATGCACCCTATAAGGATTCAAAAAAAAAAATCTTTACAGGTAAAATAGACCATTGGAATAGCTAATACCTTGCGCCCGACCAAATCAAAAGTCACAACCACTTTACTCCGTTTCAAGCGCTCAGCTTCTTCAATCTCCTCTTGTTTCTTCTTCAGAAGTTCCTTCTCCTGTGTGACAAAAAAGCAGTCCAAGCAAATTTCAAGCAAATTCACACAGCAATTACCCTCAATTTCAAAGAATTGGAGTTTGAAAACAAGATGGGCACCTCTTTTGACAGCCAGCTGTTGCTGTCAATCTCATAGTAGTCACTTTGGTCATCAATAACTGTTGTTCGTGCTGTAGAGTTTCTGTCATATTCAACAAGCCTTTTTGCATAAGCTTCAGCTGCTGCTTCAGCATCTGATAAGAGAGTGAAGCTTCCCTCTAAACCAGCATATGTGCTTCCTTCTCTAAGCACTGGAGCACCACAGAAATTGCAAGGCCCCTCTCCCTCCTGCTCACAGACTATCTTACCACAGGAAAGACAGTTTCCAATCAGTCTGTGCCGACGAGCTTGGCACAAGCACGGTTTCCCCTGCTGAAAGACAATTGACCCTTTGGCTGCCTCAGCAAGTGAAACAACTTTACCAGCTTTCTTCTTTTTAGAATTACCTTGGTTTCCTTTATGATTATTTCCTGAATCGCTAGTAGCATTCAGGGCTCTGTTTTCCTGATTACCAGAAATGGCATTCTTTTTAGGTTCAGCCTGATGACTGGAGCCTGTGGCCTCTTTTGGAGTTTTAAATTGTTTCGTAGTTCCACTGACAGAGCTTTCACCAGAAGGTGGTTTGACATAGGCTTGAAATTTTGAAGTTGGTATCGCTGAACTGCCACTGCAGAGATCTGTGTGACCTCTCCGCCGCAAGTACTCTTCAGTCACTCTTTTTCCTGCTTCCTGGCCAATAAAATTCTGAAAAAAACAAATGGAATTTAACACATGGAATACTTGCTGTGGCTGCTGAGAAAAAGAACTGTCAATGAAGGTATAGAATTAAGACAGTAGAGCTCAACATAAGAACTATTGATAAAATGGTAACCTTTTGAATTAAAACTACAATGCTCCATAGAAAACCTTATGCTTAAACATAGCTAAAACCCCCTGAAGGAAAAAAAGGAAGAGAAAGAAAAGCACTAACTATTAAAATTTTAAAACGAGAGCATTAGCATTAGCACTAGCATCACATTGATATAGTATGACCACAAGTAAAATACAGGAAGATACAACATTAAAATTGTTTGCAAAGGGTACTTATCTCAAAGTCACGCACCAGTCTTTCTCAATTAAATTAAGAAACTTGACATGCTAATCCTTTGTTAGAATTTTGACTTTAAAGATTCCATAATGTAATGTAAGGATAATCAATCAAAACTTGTCATAATTCATCAATGGTTAATCCAAAAGGTTAATCATGACCAAGTTTTTCGGTGGATCATTCAAATTATCTAACAACATCTCTATTAACAAAAAGATTGAATCCCAGATCAACAGAAACCTCAAGCACTATCCATTCGTTTAATTAAAAGCCAAAGACAAATTAAAATAATAAATGAACAAAAGAACCAATAAACCCAGAACTTGTAATTTGACCAGAAGAAAACGATTAAGGAAAACAGGAGAGAGAGAGAGAGAGAGAGAGAGAGGAAAGAATTACATCAAGATATTCTTTGGCATCAAGGGGCTGAGCCATCTCGCAATAAGAGACTAAACCAGATATGATTTCCCTATCCAAATCCAAATCCAAACCCAAACCCGTCTCCATCTTCTTACCCAATTCCACCAAAGCTTTCTCCAGCCAATCCCCTGGTGTCTCCATTCTTAGTTCTTCACCCTCTCTCTGCAGAGAAGAAGACAACTAGAGTTTTCAAAAGGAAAAAATACTACCAGTAAAGGATAAAGCTGGGAACTTTATTTGATGTTGATCAGCTGTTGGATTGAGAAGGCAAGCAAGGCTTAGATAAGACCAATCTTCATTCAGGTTGGCGTGTTATAATCATTCTTGTTTAATTCCTGTTTGTTGAGTACTATCGGTTACATATAATTAAAAATCAACGCTACACAATACACGTGACTTTAAATACTTATACAGATGGATACATTTATTTTGTTAATCTCTTAGTTAATATGTTTATTAAAGAGATCAAATTTAATACAATAAACCTAATTAAACATGATCAATACAATAAACCTCTTTTGTTAAAGAAATAATTTATTTACATGTGAACATTTAGCTTATTAATTAGTGTATAATTTTCAAAAAACAAAGATTGAATTCCCCTTTCTCTTATTTTTTAAAAAAATTAACTTATTTAAATATAAAATTAGTTTTTATTTACCATTTGATTTAGTTTAAACATAACATTAAAATAAAATTATACTAATCTCTATTACTCAAATTTAAAACTAATAATCACAACGCAACTATAACAAAAGAACAATGACCATCAAGCATGCTAAAGTGTCCATTAATAACAAAACAAACTATAACAAAATAATATTGTCTATGAATCAAAACTCCCGTAGTCAATTGACTTTCTTCTTATCTTCTTTCTATCCCATTTCATCTATTTACACGCAATCGTCATATTTTTCTAAAATATGAAAATTTGATTTAAAGTCATATGTAAATGATTGAATTCCATATACGAACGAGAATATTTGTCACTTAACATTACTACTTCAACAAAACATAGTACCAAAATAATCACATATTACCAACAATCTTTAAAATGCTAGAAGACTCAAATCAAGTTTGAAAAGCCTTTTAAGTTTTAATCGAAATTCCAAACAAGTTTATTAGTTTTCAAAATAAATACTCCACTTTAAAAAAAAAATCTTTCACTGAATACGTAGATCCAGCCGTTAGTTAACCATTAATATTTTCATTAGTTTGATTATGTGGTAATATTGAAATTATAATATTACCCTTTATTAATTTTAAAAACTACTATTATATATTTTTATTAATTAAAAAAAGAAGAGGAGCACTATTGATGCTGCCCTTTCTTGGAGAGCTAAGAAGCATCAATCAGTGCTTTTTTTTATAAAAAAATAATAATAATTTTTTAAATTAATAAAAAAAAAATATTTTAATCCTTTCATCATTTTTATTAACGGTGTATACACTCTTAAAGCAGAGTGTTCATTTTAAAAACTAATAGAACTGTTTAAAATTTCAATTAAAACTTACAAGTATGAGGATATTTTACCCTTGAAAATATGGCATGTCTATAGCACACAAAGTAAAACATAACATAATATATTAAAACTCACATGCTAGTTTAATTATACTTATATTTCAATCTATGATATTAATTATCCATTTTAGAAGTTACGAACATAACCATATGTCAATCTCTATATTTTATTAGTATGTATTTTTCTTGAAAAAAGTTTGACAAGGAACAATTTAAGAATAATGTTGTAATGTAATAAGATTCTCATAATTATGACTTTTCATAACACCTTATACAAAGCATACAACGTACCAAGGACTTTATTTCATCTAATCTATATTTATAGATCTTTTGAAAATAAAAAATGTTTTTCATAAATAGTAAATGCTTAAATATAAAATGCATTGTTGTACAATCAATACACTGGTTTACATGGCATATATTTGCACTATACACCAAAAAATAAAAAAAGAAAGATCGTATGGATAGGATGCCATATGCCTTAGCAATTAGATTCATAATGTACACAAAGCTTTGCACTAGACTGGATGTATCATATATTCTAAGTGTTACAAAAATATGTCAAGTTAATCTTGGTTAACATCACTAGATAGCAGTGAAAAATATCTTTAAATACTTGAGAAAGACTAAGGATATCATTTTGGTTTATAGAGAAGTCGAACTCAATGTAATGGGTTTCGGTGATGTAGTGTTTCAATCTGATAAGGATGATAACAAGTCGTAAGGAGGATATTGTTCACTCTAAATGTTGGTGCACCTAGTTGTAAGAGTTCCAAACAAGAGACAAGCATAGACCCTACAATCAAGGCCGAATACATGTTTGCATTTGATAAAATGAAAGATATCATTTGGATCGAAATTCATCACAGAACCAAGTGTGATTCTTAGCATTGTCGAAGTAATACTCGTATATTATGAAACAAAAGAACCAATGTGTCACCAACAATCTAAACACGTATTGAGGCATAACCACTTGGTTAAAAGGATTATTAAATGAGGTGACATAAAGATTGAGCAAGTGCCCACAAAAGAAGACTTAGCAGATCTTTTTACTAACGAGCTGTCCTAATAGAAACATGATTGCTACATGAAAGAAATGGATATTAGATACATAGATGATAGGTTTTATTGCAAGTGAAAGACTGATAATGTAGACGTATGCCCCATAAGTCAATTAAATTGGTCGTAAAGATATAATAATGTTGATTTATGCACTTAGCCTAATAAAGGTTTACTTTATCTATGAGTTTATGGAATAATTGATGTTAACTAAATAAGATAAAGTCCTTTTAATATCCTTTGCAAAAAGAATTATAACGAGTTATAATTATGAAATCCTTAGTACACCAAAAGATTATTCTTAAATAGTTCCTAATACATGCTTTATCAAGACCAGACATTGATAGAAGTTGAGAGATTAACGTGTATTATTTTTTTTACTTATGAAGAAAGTAATTGATTTCATAAATTGAAGTATAACGATATTTAAAACTAACATGTAGATGCTTACTAGAAGAGCAAATTCATTGAACATGACTCATGATGTGTTTATTTCATGCCTTGGTCTAGTGGTGTCACTTAGCAATCTTTTAGTTGTTATGGTTCCCAGTTTTGATGTTAATCAGTTGGACCACATGTATGAAGCGAGTTACGAAACATTCACTTGAATCTTTAATTTAAGTTACATGTATGAATGAGAATTAGGAAATAGTTAAATATTTACTCATTTAAGACTAAATATAACATTTAGGTTAAGAATCAAGTTCACCATTAAATACTCATCACGATAAGTTGATCATTATATAAAGATCCTTAAAAGTGAAGACCAAAAGAACTTTGCCACTACTTAATAAAATAGAGGGTATACCCTAAAACTACAATCTTAGCTAAGATGTTCAATCTTGCTTGGTTGTCTCTCCCCTAGACGTGATTTTCTAGCAATTTAAAATTTGTGATTTGATAATCGTATTGAGCTTATATGCTATGAGTTGATCCATCGAAAAATTGTTAAGTCATTGATTCTTCTTGTGTTTAAACATATTATTCAAATGCAAGTTCTACAAATTCAACCCTTATTAGCATAGAGACAATGGCTAAAAGTTGCATGAAAAAAATTATTCTGAGGGTTTGAGAAGGAAAAAGAGAGATTTTCATGAATTATATATAATTAAGAGAATTTCATTTTGTAATTCATTCAAATGTTTATGGAATATATTCTCATGTGTTAATTGTGTAAATGATCCTTAAATTTGAGATCATTAGATTATTTTATGTGCAGTTTACCATATGTTGATATTGTCATACGTAGTCCTTACCAAGGATGAATGATGAGGTTCCTATTGGGTATAACATGAAGTACATGAAGATAAATGAATGATCAATAAATGATATATCCCCTTAATTTTAAGGGAGATATCTCATTGTCTATTGGCATTTCTTAACTCAAGGAAATCTTTGGTCAAAGTATAATGAAGACTTGAAAAAAGGAGTTTTTTGAATTTCATTAAAGAGTTAAGTATCCACCCATAATAAGAAAGGAGTATATAAGCTAATATTCTTGCATATACAAAAGAACATGCTTCTATCCAATAAAGAAAAAATATATAATGAAATTGATTTACATTTACTACTTTTCTGGTTAGAATATAGTGTACAATTAAATTGCAAATATGTAAAGCAAATCATGTTCAGTTTATCAACTTTAATTTTGCTTGACATTGGTTGGAAAGAAAAAAATTGGTAACGACCTTTTAGGGTGAGCAATTTTCAATTTTAATCAAATTAATAGAAAAATTTTGTTAAAAGTAATTCAATTAATTCAGTTAATGAGATAGGTTAATTCGATTAATTTACAGTTGGTCAAGGCTTTAAAAATTTTTCTAGTTAATTGAATTAACTGAATTAAAAATGTCAAATTAAAAAATGCACAATTACTTAGCTAAAGTCAAGTGTTCCATAAACAAAGTTAAAGACAACTTGCTTGTTTAAATGAATAAGCTTGCATAATTCTTCAATTTTCAACAGAGGTGAAGCCTTGTGTAGTTATGTGGGGCTTCAAAATTTTTTAAATTTTGTATATATTATATATTTTTTCTCTTAATGGCCATGTAAAAAATTTTTAGCCTTTATTCTTCTTGTTTTGACCTCTCAATAAAAATTGACTAGCATTATCTTTGATTTTTACATTAAGAAATGAAATTTTACTTCTTACTTGAGTTTGCTATCATCTAAGGCATAAATAAAGGTTATCGTGTTGAGTTACCATTTTCTATTTCAAGCAAAACAACAAGACTTCATAAAAAATTCTCAACCTAGATCACTCTCTTAAAATTCTATATCTAAAAATGGAAGCAACATAGGGTTGTTCCAAACTTGGCAATCGCTTGCCTATTTGCTAAATTTATTATTAAAGAGCTTCAACAAATTTCTTGATTTTTGTTATGTTTTAAGAATTTTCTAAGGAAAATTAGGTAGTCATCAATGTTTAATGTTTTGGCATATTAGGATAAAATGGTTTGGTAGCAATTCAATTATTTAGGTTTGGCTCTTTCACTATATGTATATTTACTAAATACTTTTAAATTACGAACATCATCATTTACTCATTATATTCAATTTTACTTTTTATTAGCATGATATAAACAAAATAAAGATTATAATGAAATTTATGTGCATTTATTCAAAAAAGAACAACATTGAAAATATTATTTTTTTAGAATTTTCATTAGTAAAATAAATTATAAACCTTCTTAAGTAGAAGGAAAGGGAGAAACATCTTCACTAACTAGAGTACATTTATTCCATACTTGAGTAATTTTTGATA